TGTCTTGGAATTAACAATATATTGTTTTGTCTTCTGGTGGATTTAATGTGCCAGCACAGCTAGAAGTGTTTGCTTTCTTTGAATAAAAGAAACTATATACACTGGAACATTAATGAGCAGGGGATTGGACTAGAACAGATATGTCAAACTCACGATGTCACGTGATGTCATGTAACGTATAGGGACGGTTTTGCCATTGCCGGCAATGGGGTGGATTCGGCTTCCGGGTGATGTGTCCGGCCCACAGGCCAATAGTTTGACACCCCTGGACTAGAAGATCTCCAAGGTCCCTTCCAACTATGATAATAATAATAATAACAATAATAATAATAGAACTGCAAATATTTTATGATGATATGTAATCAAAGTTACAGTCTATAATATTAAAATAAACAGTGTTTCTGAATAAACAGTTATGCATCCAGTCTGCAATTTGCTTCTTAAAGTTTTGTTAGAAAAGAATAGCAAATTAGTGTCCAAATAATATTTGAAGATAAGGAATATATGTACTGTGCTCAAATCTCTGTTCAGCTGTGAAACTCATTGGCTGATTTTGTACAGAATTGTGAGGGCAAAAAAGGTTATTTTATTGAAATAATTTTAACAATTTTAAATAATTGTAGCCTAGATTGTTCTGAATTTCATGACCGATTTCTTTAATTAGTTATAGTTATTGAGAAAATCAATATAAAGTATGTATAAATTAGTTGACAAGAACAGCTAATAGTGCTAGTAAATATTATCAAATTTATAAAATTATTAATCAAGAATAATTATAAAATATTGAATATGTATTAAGGACTACTCAAATTACTAAGCCAGGTCATCATACTATATACTGAAATACTTTCTTTAAAAACTGAACTCTTATACACTCTTCCTTACTCCCAAGTTTCATTGATGTTAGTGGGATTTCTGACCTCCCCTCCAAAATTATGAAAGATGCTTCTGTTAATAATATTTGTAACTAGCTGTACCCGGCCACGCGTTGCTGTGGCTCAGTCTGGTTAAATGGAAAAGAAAGAAAAGAGAAAGCGGAATCGTAAAATCGTAGCGTGTGTTGCTTTTATGTCCAACAGATGGCGCTTTTTTTAAAAAAAGCATGTTTTTACCTGTCACAGGTGTGACATCTATATAATAGTAGGTATATAAAAACACGCGCGTATTCGAATGCAATGTTGTGTCAAAATTTCAAAGCAATCGGTGAAGAACTTTCGGAGATTTAAGATTTTGAACAAACGAACATTTACATTTCTATTTATATAGATATCACTAGTGTTGACTTCCTTGATACGAGCCAACTCATTCTTAGATAAAGATTTTATTAGATGTTGTTGTAACTATTTCCAATTTTTGTATTTGCTACAATCTGTTTTATATATAAGCATGGTAGATTTGGATTTCAGCCTTCTCTTGTTATTTCCCTGCATTGTATTGTCAGTTGGGTCTTTTTTTTAAGGCTATTAAGGGTCAGTTGAAGGTCACAGGCTCATATGATTGTCTTTAATGAAATTGTAGCTCTGCTTTGGGAAATAGCAAAGGAGTAGAAACATCAAGGAGGTTAACTTAATTGTGCAGATACACCAAATTTTGGAACCAGACAATTCTTTGAAAGCTAATTAATGATCCGCAATAGTCTGTGGATTTTGTTATTTTCCTTTGATATATGAAGTTAAAGCAAAGGCATAAAATAGGAAGCCATAGCAAGAATGCCTAAAAAAATTAGAATTGAAAGAACAGGCCCTGTGTAGAGGAGTCATATGTTAACAAGTGCTTCATCTGACAAGGGAGCATTACTCAGTATGACACATTTCCTATCTATATCAATATTGAGACATAGTTTTGTCCTTGAAAAAAAAATTGGCTGTAGCTCTGTTTCTTGTGCTCATTTCAATGGTTCAACAGTTGCTTATATAGATTATTAAAAGAATAACATTTATAGACTAGTAATACCGATATTGAGCCAACATGGCATAGTGATAAGGTGATTAAGGATGACAAACAGGGATATCTAAGTTCTTTTTTCAGCCCAGCTGGCAAATCAAAAACCATATATCTACCAATCTGCGTTATATCAGCATGGTAGATTAAGGCCCACAGCCTTCAGTGAAGAGGCCTCTAACTACAATGGATTAATGTGGGCTTAATAATAACAGTGCAGACATTGGACAAGAATAAGTAAAGATATGTGCTATGTGATACGTACTGGACTTTATCAGAAATCATTATTATACTAATGCATTTTCCATCTTTTAGGCCAAAAGAAAATGGATGAATATTTTATTACTGCTTTTGCTATTAAAATCTGCACAAAAATCTAGTCTATTATACTGATCACAAATATGAGGAGACTAATAATTCCATTTTTAGATGGTCTGCATATTCTTTTGAGAGTTGGAAATAAACAGTTCAATGTGGAATCCATTGAATTTCACTTGCTAGGAATGTAGACTTCCATAGGCATTTCATTATTTACAAAAATGAAGAGTTGAAGTCCAAGGACTGTATGCAAGCCCACAGAGTTACCTCTGGGTATGACTGCTAAGAACTGTTGGCATGGGTGCTTTCAGGTGGGAAACAGTATAAAACTGTTAAAACTGCAGTGGAAGCTCTGAAATAAGTATAATACAGTTTTAGAAAACAATCTCCAAACTCTCAAAAGAAGTCTTATTAATAAATATAAAGGTCCCACCCAAAACAAGCTGTTTTCCCAGGAGGGAAAGAAAGGTGTGGCTCTTTGACCACAATTATTTTTCCACCCTAGTTGATTATGAGAATGAAATAAAGATTTGATAACTCTTGATAGTTAGATATTAGGTCTTTGAACTCATCCAGCCCCATGACCGCATTGCTTAGCAATGGCAATCCCTGCAGTCCCCGTTGTATCATTAAATGAGGATTGTGGGTCATTAAGCAAACATCTCCTCTCACAACTTCCTGCTGGTTTCTGACAGTCAACATCAGTAAGGAAGCCAGCAGAAAGATGAAGGTTCTAGGTGGGTCATCAGCAGGCAACTAAGTGAAGCACAGTGGTGCCCAGGGAGGGTGTGTGGTGGGGAAGATTACCTAAGCAACTTGCAACCTTCCCTGCTGGCTTCCCATTGACTTTGTTTGTGGGAAGTCAGTGGGGAAGATTGGGAATCGTGATCACATGACCACAAGATGCTACAACCATTGTACGTAAGAGCTAATTGCTGAGCACCGATAGCATAGTCATGTGAATAACCAATAAAAAACTGATTAGAGCTGTTAAAAGCAGATAGATTGTAATCTTCAGCATTCTGAATAATTGAAATGATAATTCTAATTCAATAGGAAATAGCAAACTTTTAGTTGTGTTGAATTTTCATACCTACAACATACACAGTTTCTTTCCTCTAGTCCAGTGATTCCAAAACTATTCAAGGATGAAGGACCCTTTTATATAATATATATATATATAAATTTCCATGATGGAAATTTTATTGCTAAGATATTGGAAGTATGGTTGAAGCCCGGTGTCTGGAGGCCGTACGGGTCTGGATGGGGAGAAACAGACTCAGGATCAACCCTTCCAAGACTGAGTGGCTGTGGCTGCCGGCTCCCAAGTATGGTCAGCTGACTCCATCGCTGACTATAGGGGGCGAAACTTTGGCTCCCTCGGAGAGGGTGCGCAATTTGGGGGTCCTCCTGGATCCACGGCTGACACTGGATGACCAGTTGATGGCTGTGGCCAGGGGGGCATTTTACCGGGTACACCTGGTGCACCAGTTGCGGCCTTTTCTGGACCGGGATGCCTTGCGCACAGTCACCCATGCTCTTGTCACCTCCCGCCTGGACTACTGTAATGCTCTCTACATGGGGCTTCCCTTGAGGAGCACTCGGAGGCTCCAGTTAGTCCAGAATGCGGCCGCGTGGGCGGTGATGGGAGCGACTCGTCGCTCCCATGTAATGCCGCTGCTGCGCGAGCTGCACTGGCTGCCTGTGGCCTTCCGAGTGCGCTTCAAGGTGTTGATTATCATCTTTAAAGCGCACCATGGCATTGGACCTGGTTACCTCCGAGACCGCCTTCTGCCACAGATTACCTCCCACCGGCCGATACGCTCCCACAGAGANTTGGTTATTTCAGCGGGCAGGACTGGCCTAGGGGTATTTTAAATTGGTTTTAACTAAATTTTAGTAGAAGCGGCCTATTTAAATATTTATTTTTAATCATTTTCTTAAATTTTGTATTGTATTGTATTAGTTGTTTTTAAACTGGCTGTAAGCCGCCCTGAGTCCTCCGGGAGAAGGGCGGGGTATAAATATAATAAAAATTCAAAAAAAATAAATTCAAATTCAATAAAAGCAATGAAGTTCCCAGTCAGCTTTGTTTTGATATTTCAAAACAAACAAATTATTTTGATATTGAATATCCACCTTCATATATATGGAGAATAAGTAAGTGGCAGCTACTCAAAGAATTGGACTGAATGCATTAGGTAACATGAGGAAGGAAGTGGGTGGGCCAAGTAAGATCAGCACATCTGCTGTTCCTAGTGGATGCAGCCTTCTCTCCAGTGGCAGAGAACAGAGTTTTGTTTTGTTTTTAAATTAAAATCTACTCCTGCATAGTTTTAAAGAAAATCCTGTTGATTTGCAGGCATGTGGGATTTTGACACTCCTGAATCTTTCAGAAGACTTACATTATCAGCTTGTTTCCTTCATTTCTCTTTAAAAACAAAAATAAATTACTTATAAATTCATAAATTATGAATTATAAAAGTTGGATACTAGTACATTCATTTTCTCTGTAAGATCTCTAGAAATACTTGGTTTTTCATATAGCCAGCTACATTTCTTGTAGGATAATGATTATACCTGTTTTTGTTATTATGACCTAATCCTTCAAGCAAAATCTAAAATGCATACATTTTCTTGTTAATTATTGATATGACAGTGTCAAAAAATGTAACATTATTATTTTTGGACTTTTGTGTGCATTTTAAAATCAGTTTATTATACGTTCTCTGTTCTTTCAGAACTCCCTGAAGAGAAGAGGAAGCAGGGATATTCATAAAGAAAAGAAGGCATTTGCTCAGGTATTATTCCAAACGATATATACTTATGTCAGTGCTATAACAATGTTATCTAAAGTAACCTTTAGTAATCAAATATATGTAATACATTTTCAGAATAGAATATTTTTATATGAAGTGCTTATTTTTAAAAATCCTCAAAATTTTTGATCTGATAACTCATTTTGTAAATAGAGCTGAAAAAAATAAACAAATATCAAAAAAATAAAATAGCTTTGTGTCAGAGTACTTGGAGCAGACAAATTAGTCCTTGGTGTCAAGGTTATGTGTAAATGATTATCTTAACACCAAATGTAGTTAACACATTAAAAACACATATTGTGTCATTCTTTTAGAGTTTATGGCATTTTTTTCCCAGGAGAATACTTGTGATATCAGTATAATGAGTTTCTCTTGTTCAGATGGGAAACTGAGGCCATCCACGCTGACCCACTTGGAATTAGGTTTTAAATTTCTGAAGCCTGGTATTCTTTCTTTCTTCAACTAAATGTAAAGTAACTGTAATTTTTTTCCTCCTCACTCAGTTTTCATAGTAATACTGTTAAAAAACTGGGGCTTAAGGACTGGATTTCTACTTGGTGAGAAAAAAATCATTGCAGCTTCCTGGAAAGCTTTTTATTCCTCAACAGTAAAACAATTTCTTGCACTACCAGTTGGAAACATTCTTACTCATACATTCCATATGAACAGCATTGTTGAACTATATTGCCAAGATATACAGTGCTATAATATTTTAAATGGATTACCATACCATCACATACACATACCATGAGATTTCATGAGATTTGATCAAATAATGCATTCCATATAAGGGAGACGATGCATGAATTCTTACTTTGTAGCAATTGTTTTTCCCCCTTTATTGTAATTTTATAAATCTTGATACATTATATAATTTCAATGCAGATTTCAATGCAACAATACTTGTGTAAAAAATGATAAACTATGAACGTTCTATTATTTAGAAAGCTTAAAGTACTGAAAATGAGTAAAAAAGAGAAATGTCTATCAATATAATTTTAGGATATTAATAATGCAAGCGTAAAATTATTTAACTTTTCATCCAGCATTGAGTTTAAACTAACAAAAGGACCATTGCATATCATATCAGAATAGTAGTTAGGTGACAAAAATTTTGGTCTGAAACTAAGTACTTAAGATCTCCATGTATTATTTGTGACTGTGTTTGCATTGATTTAATATTTAATAAAAGTTAAAATACCTGAAAAATAAAAACAAGTAAAAAAAGAAATAATTAAAAAACGATTAATTTCTCCCCTTTTATACAGATTTCTGACTCCCCTTTGTATACAGATAGTCCTCGAGTTACTACCATAATGGAACCTGCCCATTATGGTCGTAACTTTAACTGAAACATGTTAAATGAACAGGCCCCATCCCTCCTCTCCCCAATGCATTCGTTAATCGAATGCGCAAGTCGTTAAGTGCACATGGGATTCCTCAGGGTAGGGAAGACCATGGGGAGGGCCTAAGGAAGGAACAAGACACCTGCCTCTGGCCACCCAAAGCCTCCCCCCATTCACTGAGATATTTCATGCTCTGCTTCCCACCCTTTAGGGTTCTCACAGCTGCTTGGGCCTTCTCCTTTCCATCATCATCAGCGATCACTCACTTACCTTTGGAAGATCTCCAGAGCTCAAGATGTCGGGGTAGGAAAGGAGAAAAGTTGGGCCATGTGGCAGAAAAGTATCCATCTTTTTCTCAGACACAAAGTTGTTTTCCTTAGATCGCCCATTCGTACACATGCTTCTGCCCTCTTTGGAAAAGTGTTTTTGCATGGAGGACAGAAGCGTAAGAACATGAGATCTATTGCATCTTGCAGGATTTGCCTTATCCCGGCCTGGGTGGCGCCATGTGTGCTCTCTGCATATTTCCAGCAACAGTTCCTAAACAGCCAGAACAGCAGTGCCATCGCCAGAGATGGCTGAGCCCCAGCAGCAGGCCAGGCCAGTGCAGCCACCAGGCACTGTGCCAGGGATCTAAGGAAAACAGCTTTGCATTGAGAAAAAAATGGCCACTTTTTTGCCACGTGGCCCGGCCTGTTCTTCTTTCCTACCCCAATATGTTGAGCTCTGGAGATATTCCAAAGGTAAGTACTAAGTGATCGCTGATGGGGTAGGGAGGAACACCTGGTACCCAGTGGGCTGACAAACAAGGTCCAGTGCCTATGGGGACCCAGCAGGGCAGGATTGGGGGAGAAATAAGCAGGGGGCATGTTGCAGCATCTCTGCGGTCAGACATTAGAACAAACAACCACTGTGGTGATGCAATATATGTAACTTTAGAACCAGGTCATAAGTACTTTAGGGGAGGTCATAACTTTGAACTGTAGCTAAGTGAACTCTCGTAACTCAAGGACTACCTGTAACAATTGTATTTACCTTTCCTCAGTTAAAACAAAAGCATCTGATCAAACCCTTAGAGGTTTATTTGTTTACTATATTTCTTTCTATTACAGAACCCAAGGAATCATTGTATACAATTAGTATCACAAATAAGAGTAAAAAAAATCAGTATAAAATTTAAACATATTCAATCATGTAAATCTTATATCAAACAATAATTCATCCAATCCCAGTTCTGTTACCAAGGCTCTCCTAAAGCTCAGCAGATCACTAATGGAAACCATCTTAAAAACATACACTTTCTCAGAACTCTTGGAGAGGAGACATCTTGAAATATACCTATCTGATATGAGCATACCAGATAGGTAGGATCAGTTTAGTGCAGGCATGCCAAACCCGCGACGTCATGTGATGTTGCACGATGTATCGCAACTTTTTCCCCTTTGCTGGCAATGGAGTGGACGTGGTTTCGGCATGACACATCCGGCCTGTGGGCCGGCAGTTTGACATGCCTGGTTTAGTGGATGATCCTGCACCTGTGTGCTTTTAATGTCAAAACCAGAATATTGAAATTGTACCAAGCAGTCTATTGGCAACCGTGCAGCACCATAACACAGGCAATATGCATGTACAGTAACTCTTGCCCATTAAAACATTGGTCAATGAATTTTGTATCACTTGCAGCTTCCAAGTAGTCATCAGAGGCTTCCCCATACAGAACGCATTGCAGTAATTGCAATAGTTTAAATGAGAAATAAGAAGTTCATGAGTTACTGTATTTAGAACTTCCTTCACCAGGAAAAGCCATAATTGGCACATCAGCTAAAACGGGGTAAAGACTCCTGGAGTCTCCACCTGATGTCCAACAGTAGCCATAAGTCTACTTACAAACGTGAAGTAAAACTTATCCAGAGTAATCACTGGAGCATTTAAGGCACCTTAACTAAATATTTCACTCTTTTAAAGACATCAAAGTCCATATTCTGGATAGAGAGGACCATTGGTTTGAAAGAAAGATAAAAGAGGCCATTTATGTTAACACTGAGCAGCCCTGTCTCAACAGAGAGGGAGGGATAAGACACCACCTATCTCCTTTCTACAACACAGTCCTTTCAGCAGTTCCAAGAAGATTTCACCCCCATTTGCACTCTGATGCCTTCAGATGACCCTGAGGGCATAGATAAACCCCTAGTAGTCTCAAGATCCCTCAAGGAGATATTAACGACCACATGAATAAAAAGAAATATGATCCTTCCAGCCCCCTCCCCTCATCATGTCAGAATTAATCCTTCCATCGCCCCTACCATCGTGCCAGAACCGATGAAGCTTCTTGGATGAGAAGCGAAAGATCTTCTTCTTCCTCAAAGATAAAAACAGTACAGTTGCCTTCTGAAAAAGCAGCTTAGAGATAAAAATAAAGAAATTATTTGGATATCATTGGCATATTGATGATCCTGGATCATTAGATGGTTTCACCAAACAACATCACATAGATGTTGAACAGCAAGAGAAACAGGAGAATTTTGTGGCATACCACACTGGAATCTCCAATAGATCTTTCTCCCCCACTATCACCAACTGGAACCACACATTCAGGAAAAAGCAGAACCTCTCTCTGTACACAGTATTTCCAGCTCCTAACTCTTACAGGCAGCCCAGACATTGATAATATTGAATGTTGCTGGGATAACTAGTTAAATCATCCAACAGTGCAGTCAATATGATTCTATTTCTAACCTAGGCCTGATTCCAGGATTTGGAAAGAATCCAGATAAATCCAAACATTCACTATATCTTCCATAAAAAGGAGTAGTGGAGGCTGGTTTCTAACATAGCCAGATACAAGGATGCCTTCGTCAGGAGAGGCATGCTACCATCTCTTTCAAAGTCAGTGGTACCATCCCCTCCCCTAACAGCATTGAACACTTTCTAATCCAGGCAGTCATGTCCTCAAATTCTGAAAAAGCGTGGGTTATAGTTCATATGTGGAGGAGTTCACTCTGCCTGCTACCGCATTTACTTACAGGATAGAATGAGTTCCAGATCACATCATAAGACTCTGCCTCTGCCAACTCTATAGTTTCTGCCCATGAGGAATCAAGACTTGAGTCAGTTTATTGGCAAATGTTGCCCGAAACCTTAACTTCAGCCTGGTAACTCTCACTTCAACCTCGCTGAGCCTCGGTCCTCAAATGAAAAAGAGTCATCCTAAAGAGGTCTGCTGGATTATGATCCACTGATGCAATAATGATGGAAATGTAAGAAGAGTTTGCAACACTTATCGGTGTTGTGCTTTGCACATGAATATACTCCTACTATGTTAAGTTTGCTATACAACTCAGAATTATACTGGATTACTCCAGGGTTTATTACAAGAACATGTAGAACAGAGAAAATAGAACTGCACTCTTTCTGCATTTAGTTTTATTGAAAAAAAAGTTTCTGTTCAGCAGAGTTGCAGAATGGAACTTCTTGGAAAATGCCAAGCAGCGGTCAGAACACAAAGAAAACTATTTCTTCAGCATAAGGTAGGAATGTTGGCACTGGCCCAGTTTCCTGGGCAACAGCTATGTTGCCATTCCATTTTGCTGACATTCCAGTAAGTGCCTAGACAAAAACCATTGGGGAGATGGTAATGGAACATTATTTCTTTTTGTTTGTGTCACCCGACTAATCAAATATATAAAATATATACATATTTTATGTATGGTATTGTGATTAAGCCTCAGCCTCATCACAGCTTTAGCACCGCAGCCCTAATTTGTTCATATTGAGTGTTTCTCATCATGTATGCATCTAAATTTATATTTCAAGCTATTTTGTAGTCAAGCAGTGTCCATGCACATGCACTCTTCCTATACTGGTGTCTGTTTTGAGAGCCTTTTGTATAGTAAGGCAGAAATAATTCAATACATTTTATACATATACACCCATACACTATATAAAATGCTAAAAGAATAGTTTATATGAGCAGACAAACCAATCAAAGTATATAAATAAGGGCCTGGGGCTAACGGCTCTGCCACCCTCTATTATAATAAAAACCAAGCCTATTTTTCTCAGATAATTTACCCTTGAAATTGGAGGATCATATTAGATTCATTAGGAATATAACTTTTTTCTGTCTCATATTTAAGGTGGTTCATCTTAAAATTTAAGCTTACATAATTCTGACAGAAAAATAAAATAACAGAAAACAAGATTACAGGTAGTCCTCGACTTACAACCACAACTGAGCCCAAAATTTCTGTTGCTAAGCAAGACAGTTGTTAAGTGAGTTTTGCCTCAGTTTATGATCTTTTTGCCACAGTTGTTAAGTGAATCACTGTAGTTGTTAAGTTAGTAACACAGTTGTTAAATGAATCTGGCTTTCCCATTGACTTCGCTTATTAGAAGGTTGCAAAAGGTGATCACACATGACACCGGGACACGGCAACGGTCATAAATATGAGTCGGTTGCCAAGGTACCAAACTTTAATCAAGTGGCCATGGGGATGCTGCAAAGGTAAGTGTAAAAAAACAGTCATAAGTCACTTTTTAAAGTGCCGTTGTAACTTTGAATGATCACTAAACAAATTGTTGTAAGTCAACAACTACCTGTATAGGAAAGGTTTAAAAGAAACCTGATTCTGTTGTTATGAGTTTCACAATCGGATAGACGAATTTGAAAAAATGGAACACCCTTATTGTTTGGGTCATTTTCACATTATGGGTTTATCTAATAACAAATAATCTCACTTGAATTCCAATGCATGGGGCTTTTATTTGCATCTTTTACAATATTAGTTTGATATTGTCACGCTGCATAACATTTAAGAAACTTTCTCCCTACCATGCAAACCTATTTAGCATGCAGTTTGGCAATTAGTGTATACTTATGTAATGTTTATTTGCATATCCACACAATACAGAAGGCTAGGGGCATTAAAAGATGGGAAATTAAACTTACCTAGATTTAATGTAAACTATCAATAGCAGTCATATTTGTTGTAATTAAAATGTTTGCTGTGGAATTTGTTTCAAATCTATTTACAAATGTTTTTTGTGATTTCGCTCTTTGCCTCTCTGTCAGGTATTGATAAACAAGCACAAATTAAGAAATGCCAGAAATTGTTTTTAGACTGCAGTCTTGTACATGGTTATATGAGAATAAATCTTATTGAATCCAAACAAACATTTTTCTAAATAGACAAATATAATTTTATGTGCTGTAAAAATATAATCTTGGAATTGGATTTGGAATGATATTTATCTAAACTCAGTGATGTCTGTTGGGGGAGTCAAACCACTCAATCTCATGAAATCATGATTATCCCACTCCATATGTACATATATTGAAACATTGCATATTATAGTATGATAGGTGATAGCCGGCAGAGGAGGCCTGCTGTGGGTCCCGTCAGCCCAAGCATTCTGGCTGGCGGGGTCCAGGAGGAGGGCCTTCTCTGCTGCTCCCCCTGCCCTCTGGAACATCTTGCCCCTGATGTGAGGTTGGCCCCAACCTTCCTTTTTGTAAGCAATATAATAAAAGCTCAGTCCAATAAAATGCATAAGTATTAAAACAGATTTTGTTTAGAATAATATGAGTCTCATTAATTCAATTTCCTTAGAATTCTGGGATATAAAGTTACAACTCGTGTGTATCAAAAGAATGGAAGAACATTTTTTGGAAGTGGTTTGCCATTGCTTCCTTCCTGGGACTAAAGAGAGTAACTGGCCTAAAGTCTCCTAGTTGGCTTTATGCCCAAGACAGGATTAAAATTCAGTTTCTAGTCCAGTCCACCAAAGTGGTTCTCTTAATAAACATGAAAACTATTTCTAAAATGGTGCCTCCAAAGTATTCTTTTTAGTAGGCTACTCATCAGTTGTTGATGAATTCTCCTCTTTCAAGAAACTGCTTTTTTCACCTTTCTGAAACTACTTTCTTGACAAAAATTTCAGTAAATTCAAATAAATAACAGAAAGGAGTGGGTATTCAGATTATATGTAACACTTTTAAATGTTGCCTTGGTTTTTATTTCTATTTAATACCCACATTTTTTTTCATGAGAGTAACATGCAGCCTCTTGAAGAAGCTTTTTTTTCCCACTTTGGGGCTGGATTTAAAATAAACTTTAAAAATATTTTAATTGAAACATTACTATTTGAGACTTCATGACATATCCAGGCAATTTTCTTGGCAACAGTTTTAAAGTATTTCGCAGATGCCACCTTCTCAGTGTTTTCTTTAATATCCCAGACTATCTTACTGTCTTGGAATTCTTTGGTATCAGGCATCCCAAGTACTAACCAGACTAACCCAACATAGCTTTCAGTCCTGACAAAATGAAACAAGTGCTGCCATCTGTTGAGACTGCCAAAAGATAGCTGATACTGTATATAATATTACAGTAGTTTATATTATTAACAATTCCAGAAAGATATTTGACCTGAACTATAAGTAACAGTTTGACTTTGTTGTGCCTATATGAATATTGCATTATATTCATAATGTATCTATACAGAGTGGAGCAAATTGGCTGTCCCTTTTTTGAGAAATGAACATCTGACATGGGTTATCTGAGCATGCCTGATAGACTATGAAAAGTTGAGTCCTTGGTGCTCTCTGGGCTTAGTTGCTTGAGTACATATGTTTCATTACCCAGCTAGGTAATATCAGTGTGGGTTTGGAAGTATAGGGTTTGTTCCTTATCTAGATACAGTAGCTTGCCCTGCCCATTTTTTCTTTGATAGTTTCTTCACTGGCGTATCAAAAACATAGAAATAACCAAACAGACTGTTACAACCACATGGCATCATCGTAGCACAGTAATCAACTACAGATCTCCAAAATAAACTGAAAGACCCAATACCCAAGAAGAAAAAAACAGGAGTTATTTCCAACATAGAGTGTAAGGGCTGCAACAACTACAGGATAGGGAGGCAAAAGACTAGCAGAGCACATCCACAACACTGACTAGTATTCAGAAGACAGATGAAAACTCCTTAATTTCACAACACATGGACAGACTCAACCATAGTTTCAACTGGGAAACTATGGGCATCCTAGACCAAGTTAAGCCTCACACTTGTTTACACTGATGTTTCCTAACTGGGTAATGAAAAGTCTGCAAGTAAACAGCATAAAGAGCTCCAAGGACTCTTAGTTCAACTCTGAATTACATATATTCTGTTCTATTGGAAATTATGAAGTTCCGCATGGTTTTTTTAAAAAGGACATAATTTGATTTTTCACTTAATCTGTGACTTGTTTTTGCTGGGATAAGTACTTATTTTGTGGAAAGGAATCTAAAAGTTTATATTCTGAATAAGCTAATGTAAAAAAACCAATTTTCAATTTTTACATTATACATTATTGGTTGTTTCCTCATTTAAAAGTGTGCAACATTTGTATTATAACTATCAGTTTCTGGAAGTTTATGGCAAGGTATTTTTTTTAAACTAGCAATTCCTTAACTGAACTTTGTAGAGTGCATATGTGCACATGCACCCACATAAACACCCCTCCTAATTTTATATCCTCGTACACCCATGGTGGAGTTGAAATCCAACATAACAGGAAGCTACCAGGTTAGAAAAAGGTGCTTTCCAGAGTTATAGCCAGAACATGTTTGTCTATTTCTTCCTTTTGTCTTCATATTTGTCGCTTTTATTGGCAGGAAGACAGTGCTGATTTGAAGTGCCAGCTTCAGTTTGCCAAAGAGGAAGCAGTACTGATGCGTAAGAAGATGGCCAAGTTAAGCAGAGAGAAAGACGAATTGGAACAAGAGCTTCAAAAGTACAAATCCATCTATGGGGATGTGGAAAGTCCTCTCCCCATTGGAGAGGCTGGAGGACCACCCAGCACAAGAGAAGCTGAACTGAAGCTTCGTTTAAAATTAGTGGAAGAAGAAGCTAACATATTGGGCAGAAAGTTAGTAGAACTAGAGGTGGAAAATAGAGGAATTAAGGCTGAGATGGAGGACATGAGATGCCAGTATGAAAGAGTATGTCTTAACCAGGAACATGTTTCAAGCATTCCTACCTCACCTTATGGTGACCCTGTGGAATCAGCTGCAGAGTTGCGTCATCATTTGCAATTTGTAGAAGAAGAAGCAGAACTTCTTAGGAGATCTATCTCTGAAATTGAAGATCACAATAAGCAACTAACAAATGAATTAAATAAATTCAAGTTTGACCCTGGACAAGAATCTGATTGGTTTCATGAAAATGCATCTAAATGCAGTGGATCCTTACAAGAAGAACTGAAGTCAGCCCGGATGCAAATCAATGAACTGAATGGAAAAGTGATGAAACTCCAGTATGAAAATCGTGTACTATTATCTAATGTGCAGCGCTATGATCTTGCCTCTCACCTAGGATTGCGAACATGCAGTCCCAGGGATAGTGATGCTGAGAGTGAAACAGGGAAGAAAGAGTGTGACAGTGAAGAAAGTCATCTACCTCAACCAAGGAGAGAAGGACCCATTGGGGGTGAAAGTGATTCTGAAGATTTATATGAAAAGACATCAGGTTTTGGGAGTGGGAAACACTCAGAAGTTAGTAACTTGTGTTCCGCTGATTTAACACGGGCCAAAGAGAACTCAGAGTCATTTATCAGTATCAAATATGAGGCTGAAAGGCTTGAAAGAACTATGGAACGCCTTATCATTGATACAGACAATTTAATATATGAAACAAAAGTCCACATAAATAGCAGTGCTGCCTCTGAGCAAATTTTTAAAAAAGATGAGGGAAAAAAGGGGAACAAGAATGAACCAGAACCTTTAAGCGCTATTAATTTAAGGATGAAACATTTTCAGAAAGAACTGCAAACTTTTTTGGAGAAGGTTGATAACATTGGGGCTGACTTCAAAGAACAACTGGAAGATCTTTCCCCTCTTCCTCACCTTACAGAGTCCTCTAGTTTTCTGTCCACAATGACATCCATCTCTCGAGATTCACCCATTGGAAACCAAGGAAAGGAATTAATTATAGATTTCCAGGTAAGTGGACTTCTTGCTTCTTTTACGGTTTTGCTAGTCTTTCTTGCTGCATTCTGGTGCTAATTTTACCTTTCTTTGTTTTGTTATGATTTTGAAATTAATTTGTGAAATATTTATAAATTCTTTTTTTTTAACTATCTGCTATTTTCATACAGAGGCTGTTCCTCATGACAAAAAGGCTAATAGAAACAAACAGCTTCTGGATTTTTTTGTTGTTTATTATATTGGATGCTGCGTTTCATTAATTACTGTTTTGTTGATATTTAACAAAACACACTTCCTCTTACACTTTTAATATGAAATGTATTTCAAAAGGTCTTGTCAAAATAAAAATCCAAAATGAAATGCCGGATATTAGTTCTTTTACATAAGGAAGGGGCGAATAAAAAGGCCCTGAAGCCAGTAAATGACTGCCTTTCATAATGCATTTCCCTGTATTCATACTGTCACAGCTGCCATACTGAATAGGGATTTTTCTGCACGGCACAAATAAGGCTGGAAGAGCCTTGTATCCCCATATACTCCATAACTTATAAGCTTGCTGTTGGTTTGACTCATGCATCCCCATTGCATGCGCCTCATAACCAGTATTTGCATTCTTTTCCCTCTCTCTTTTTTGCTTTTCAGATGTTTCAGCCCATTATTTTGCTCATCCTTATTTTAATTCTGTTCTCGTCACTTGCTTATGACACTGCATTTAAGTTGATTTTTCTGTTCATGCTTTTTTTTCTCTTGTAGTTTTTTCAATTGCCTACCTTAGCCATTTTTGTTTTTTGTTTTTTTAATCTTCTCCTGTCCTGATTTTTTTATGTTACAATCCCCACCCATGCACCTAACAGTCCAAACAAAAGGATCAGTTGGAATGGCAGCGCAGCCCAGACCATGGAGATGAGAAAGAGATTCATCAACAACAAGGCACCACAGAACCACATGGCAGAACTGATGGAGACCTTAAATTCTACAGGCCAGAAAACAAGAATTGTTTCAGTCTAGAGGTTAGCACAGCTGAATAAAAATTCCTTGAAAGGGAACAGTAATTGTCATAGAAGCCAGGGCAAAATAGAGGGAATAACTCCTTTAAGCCCTACAATTTGTATTTAACTCCACCTAATATTTAATGAAATAGAAATCTGTCAATTTTTAGCATTTTTCTCATGACAGCCAATACAGATAGCCCTCGTTTAGCAATTGACTCATTTAACAATCATTTGCTAATGGTAATGGAAAAATAACTGTATGACCAGTCCTTGCATTCATGATTTTGGGGGGACAGGATGTTCTACAACAAGGGGGCAGCAGCAGAGAAGGCTCTCTTCCTAGACACTGCCAGTTGAAATTTTCCTGCTTGATTGAGTGAGATGAGATACGCTGATGAGATGGGGAAAACTTAACTTGGCCTTATGCCATGTAGAGCTTTATAGGTGGCTAACAGTTTGAATTTGACTGCCATCTTTCCATGATCAACAGGGGGGGCTCCTTTTTCGCCTCTCCAGGGCGACTTTAGACCCATTTAGGGTCCTCTAGCAGGGCAAATTCAGCCATGGGGTGCGGAGCTCCACAATTCCTCGGCGACATCACTACGATGCAAAACTGGAAGTCTTCCTGTTAGGTGTTATTTTAGTCATATATTGAGAATTGCCATAAGAATTAGAAGAAACCGCTTACTTGAATGTCTGGTTGATAATGTGACCTAGAACTAGCCAGATTTGATTGTGGAATAGCACTTATCTCATTTTGTCAATTGTACAGTCCTATAATCTGGATTTAAGTGGTTGTATATCTTTACATCAAAATCCAACAATGAATAACTAGAAAAAATTGACTGGAAAGCAAGATTTCATTAATTCAGGTATTTCCTAAAATACATTTTCAATACTCCAATCATTTTAATGAGGAATTAATATACGCTTAATTTCTTAAATTTTGAAACAGCATTTTAAATAAAAAAGTCTATTTGAAGGAAGACAAATTTCTGAATTCAACATTTGATTCGCTGGCCATTAAGTGTATTATAAATTGACCTTTTAGATTGAAGATGGGTAGATTAGAGGTGCAGGGAGTGAAACATGTAGCATTCTGATTTGCAAGTCTTGGATTGATTGATTTAGTTGTGATTTAGCTATGCTCAAAAAGAATGAAAAAGATATATCTTCAAGAAAGACAGAAAGAACCTTGATATATACTTTAGAAGTATGTTAATAAATTAAATGGGCTATGTTGTTAAAAAGCACGATCTCTTAAAATTTTTCAAAGGTCCACGATTGCCAACTTGGTACTAGATTCCCTCTTCATGGAGAAAAAATGTACACTGTTCCAAAACCAATAATTTTATATGTTTTCAAAAAAGGTAATCAGTTTATTCAAAACACTTGCTGAAATGCAGGAAAGGATTACTGACCTGTTACGGTGGAATGGCATCAATAGCTTTATTGATCCTGATAGTAATGCAGAAGGGAGTGAGTTGTGTAACGTTAACAGCAATCCACAATAAGGAAGAGGACAGGAAAAGCTTGCAGATGTGAGGGAAGATAATGCTACTACAAGAAGTAATTTTAAAATTAAACTCAAAGGAAGACAGTGGCAAATGATTCCTGCATAGTTCCAAGAAAACTCTATGGACATGGCTGGAACATTGAGACATGTTTATATGGCAGGTGAAGAGATTCCAAGTAGAAAAACATTCATTTTCAAAATAGAACTGGTGATGATAATGTAGTCAGATCAAGCCTGCAAAGAAATCTGGTCAGTAATGAAAGAGGAATTTCTCATTTTACAAGGAGAGATGTAACTGGAATACATGGAATGTGAGAAGAATGAACAAGGAAAAACAACTTTTTTGAAATGAAAATATTTTTTGAAATAAATGAACAGGGCCTCTTTAAGTCAGTTAATATAATATGTATCAGGGCATGAAGCCAGTCAAAAAAATGGTAATGATATTTCAAAAGGATATTGCAAGTATGTGTTTAGTTATAACACAAAAAGTGTCATTCAACATTAATGTACAAGAATGTACACTTCTTAAGGGGGCAGTGGTGAAAAACACTAAAAAATTACTAAACTCAAAATTGAGAAGGGCTAAATGCAGTATTAGGAAAAAGCACAGTACTACAAATTGGTGACTGGAATGTAAACATTGGAGAAATGGAGAAATCTGGAATTAGAAGAGAACTGGACTAGGTAAAATGTAATAATGGAGAAGATTAGCAGAGTTTTGCAAAGATAATTATTTATTGAGAGAATCAACTTCAAGCCATATATATGTATACTTTACACATGGGCATTATGAGATATACAACATTAAAATAAAATTTAATACATAATAGGAAAGAGAACATAGAGAATTGCAATCCCAGTGAGTCATAGCATTCTGAAATACAGATTATAAAACAGATCATATATACAGATGTCATACAGGTGGATTATAGAGAGTAAGGATGCCATCAAGTTTTGACTTGAGAAAAATCACTCAGAATATAACATCAGTGAAAGAAACAGATTCAATATGCCATGCAGAAAAGAAATTAAGTAGTTATATAAGAATAAGAGACATCATGAAAACTAAGTGAAAAAAGTATTCTCAAAATTCCAAAGAAAAGATTCAGCTGATTTTCAAAACAAATTAAGAGCCAAAGTAAGACATAAAATTATGCATGACAATTGAACACATCTACATCAAGCAAAAAGCAAATAAGGAAATAAAGACTTTCAACAAACAGAAGAGATTAAAGAAAAAAAGTTAAGATCAGAGTACATGGGGGGGAAATCACAAGATAGATCTAGTACTCGTGGAAGAGATCTAATAGAAGTAAATGAAATTAAAGGAAGATGGAGAGGCTATATTGAAGCTCTTTACAAATTAGGTTATGGAATCATAGAACAATTTGTTCAGACATAATGTGTGAATTAACCTTCTTTCCTACAAAACGTGATATGACAGGCAATGGACCAGCTGTCAAATAAGAAACCACCAGGATCAGATGAGATGCCCATTGAACTATTTAAAGCTGCAAGAGAACAAGCAATTAAAGTGCTAACAGCTGAGAGAGTAAATTCTCACACTGTCAGAAGCAAATAGCCTTAGACCAGATAAGCTAAAGTGAGAAAGTGCAGATTGGAATATTTGGATTCATTGAAAGCAATAACCAGACATAGTCATCTTTGCCAATTCTGTTTGCAATACACACAGAAGCCTGGGACTTCTAATGCCTTCCAATTTTCTCAAAGCACCTATCCCCCTGATGTAGTGGGAACCAAGTTGGACAATAGGAAAACAATGGATTTATTGCTTAGATATAAATCAGCATTCACAGAATACTTATGGACCACAATGACTAAATTGTGCCAGAAATTTCCTTTCCCTATAGTTTCTGATCCTGCTGGTGGATAATACTAATTTCAGATGTATTACTGATTACAAAGTCAGAACCTCCCCCAATATACATCTCTCTGGAAGAGATGGAGATTTCTCCCCCTATCCTCTCTGGGCATTTTGAACAGGAGAAAAGGATGGTTAGAGTAAAAATTGTTTTCCTTCCAGAGGAGAAAAGGGAAAGGAGCTCTTCAGCCTCAATAGAGATTTATGATATGTTGTGACAGAAAATTCTTAAATAGTTACAAGCAAACAAATCAAACCAACCAATTATCAAACAAGAGAGAGATGCAAACTACTCTTTCCTCCTGAGAGTGGCTTTTAGCCTGTTTGTTACATACCATAATGCATCAGGAAAAGAGGCATAAGAATTTGAATCTCACTTTCCCTCCAAATAGGATTTGCATTAGATATATTTTGTTTCAGTAAATCTACTTAACCACAGCCTTGGTGTTATTGGAAGTCTATATTTTTTTTAATTTCTGTGACCATTGCTTTATGACAACAAATACAGAATAAAGATTCTTGTCTCTGGAGATTGGAAAAGATTAGTGTACATTCTCATACTAAGAACAGCAATGAAAAGATATGGACATTATTAAAACATTGCAGTAATTGTTCATATAAAGTTTTACCTAACATTTTACAAAAATAAATAAATAAATGTATAGTTAATGATAATGGAAGAAAATACAAGAAGTGAAGTGATGGAAGCATACTGTCCATCAAGAACATGGACAGTATGCTGGGAGAGAGAGGTTAATTCTGGAGAAGGTAACGACAAACTTAGATCATAAAGTATAAGGATGTTGCTGTGGCAACAAATGATCAAGCAGCAGTCTTTTCCATTGCAATACAATGCTGCAAAACTGGATATAGAAGAAAAGCGAAAGAGAGGATCAGGTTATAAATCTGAAGAAGTTGCAAGAAGAACCTGTCAGTCTTTGACCTATAAAAAATATTTCATTCAGATAATGATTAGCAAGAAGAAACACAAATTTTGTGTATCTGATGCAAAAAAATTAAAGCAGGAAGAAACTACTCACGATAAAGTTTAGGGAAGTTGAAGAAGGAGATAATGGATAAAGTAGATGGACAGGATCAAGGTGATGATAAGAATGTCTTTGGAAAAACTACAATTTTATTACCACAGATAATTATAATTTTGGTGGCATTCAACAACATAATTCCAGTGATTATAACAACAATCCACCACAGTTTTCTGGTGATAAACTTACCAAACACAATGGAACACATTTCTGATTTAAACATGTGCAGGATCACACTACAGGTAACAAAAATTCCTTTTTATAAAGAGGTCAATGCGCATGCAGTTTGTTCATATTTCAGCATAATAAAATTAACTATAGCCTTTCAAGAGAAAGAGCAAGGTTCAGTTATGCTGTGCAGTTCAGCAAAGGCCAGATAACATCTTTATCTAAGATGTTCCAATTAATTAACCATTGTTGAAGCATAAACCAGACTCCTCTGCCTAAAAAAAAATAGATACTGTTTCTAATACAGTACCCTTTGCTATTCAAGCCCGTTGGCAGAATGCCAGAAAAATAAATAATCAGGTTTAAAAATGTGACTATTATTTAATGTACTTCCTTCTTTAATTTTGTTTTAGCATTAGCTTCTGAAATTCAGAAGCTTTGGCTGCCTGACTCTGTCTAATCTTTTCTGCTTTAAGATTAAGGAATTAAAAATGACAGAGAGCAAAAAGAGCAGAATGCTGCAAAACATTTTAATTTATGAATTAACTTATATACTGCCGTGTAAGACTTTTTCATCTATTTATTTCTAATCAAATTAATTCTTCTATAGTAGGCATTGGCTTTGCTTTTTTATTTCTTTTAAAATAAGCATTTGTCTCTGTTCCCTTTTGGGAACTGCTGTATCTTCCCTGTACTCTATAGAATATGTCTTAATATTTCAACAGAGAACACATCACTAGCTGTATTTTTTTTCCTTTTACATAGAGTAGATATATAGTACTCAGACCTGCTTTTGCATTCCCCAGGACACTATTTCCTAACTTTGGCAATTCTAGTGAAGTCCACACTTCTTAAAATGGCCAAGGTTGAGAAACATTACCCCAAACCTACAAAGTATGCTGTTGAATTTCAGTGGGAAGTTGTAAAAAGCATGGTGTAAAAACATTTTTGGAAAAAAAAACCTGCAAATGCTGCAAATATTTATGTCTGAGAAAGTTTTAAAAATGTGGTGAGAATGATGGAAAATGATAAGACTACAAATGTTGATGGTACAACTGGAGAAATGTGACAATATAGGAGTAGCTATGTGACTAGTTTGGTAAAGAATATACTAGATTTGTAGTTCATCTTTTTCATTTCTTCAACTAAGAAAGCAAGCACCATATCTGGAGTCTTTCAAACTGATTTAGCTGATATACTATTTCTTCTATTTTCCTTTTATTTCCTATTTTGAGTTGGTATAACGCTATGATCCGGGGTGTCCAAGATACTACTCCATAATTTGGCAACTTTGGCCATGAAATTATTCTAACAGTGGACATTCATTCTCAGAGCTATATCATCGCTAGATGATTCACCCAATGGCTTTCCTTCAGCAAATTACTGGCTGTTTAATAAGATACCAGGTTAAAAATACCAGGACTGATTTATAAGAAAGAAAAAGATTCATTCCAAATTCTCTAGATCCCCATTATGGATGTCAGATCATTATTCTTTGACCAATGATCCTTGAGACCAATCCCTACATATAATATGATGAAAAAAATACTGTTTTTACAAATATTGCTGTATTATAACAGATTGAAATACATATATATGATATCCAAGCTACCTGATATTGAATCTTCAGTGTGATCTACCATGATGCCATGCTTACTACAAGTCAACAAATATTTGCATTTTCCATACCAACAGACATGTTGTACAGCAGATGACATTTCAGTTTCATTTCAAAATCCTACAGCATAACTGATAGAGTCATCATATACAGCTCAGCTGATCTGTCTTCAGAGACAAAGACTTCCATTCAGAGTCAGAAATAGATGCAGTAAATCAGCAAGCACAAAGCGTATCGCATATTCATATTGCCAATCACCAGCTCAGTGAGATATCAGCTCTTCTTCCAGGACAAAAAATAAATAAATTTAATAAATAAAATTCACCATTCACCAACATTTTAATTTTCAAGTACTTACTTCAGTAGGTACTCTGATTCCAGGAGTGTTGTGTTAATGAGACTGAAACCAAAATAAATTTTAAATCCAAAGTTTCAGATATGATAACTTTCTGAAAGTGCTTCTGTGCAGTTCAAAAACCCATGTGTATATCTGCACAGATAACTATGGTTACAAATAACCTAGCTGTCCATACCACAGCTAAAGCAGATCCTTATATGGATCTAAAATATATTGAATCAAAGTATGCATCAACAGATTCAGCAAGAGAAAATTTTTGTGCAGGTTTTTCACTAATTATGAACGGAGCATGTGTTTGAATACTATCTTGATTGTATAGTTTTGAGTATATATCCTAAAGTTTTTGTTACCTTTGTAAGAACTGTTATACTCCTAATCAACTCAGGGACTGCCATATTTTACCTGTACAGAATGTATCAATACAGGAGCTTCAGGCTCAGCTAGAGCAGGAGATGAAACTTCGACAAGAAGAGCAAGAAACCTTTTCAGAAAGGATAATTCAGGTAAATACATTAAATAGATACTGGAAGAAAATTTCATCTGCTTTGATTACTATTAGAAGCACCATATGTTTGGGAAAAAGAGTTCAAATGTTATATATGTTTGGTTATGGATAGTTAAGAATTATTGAAACAGCTTTAAGGGATAATTGATTTTTTTATCTATATAATTTTCATGTATAAATATAAATCAAATTCTAGCCGCCAGTCATTATTTGGAAAATGGATTACATGATTACAGGAATGTTATTGGTTATAGGAATATAATATGGTATAAAGTTTTGTCACTCTTACTTTGATTTTTTTGTACATCCAGTTCTATATATTGTAAGCTGCTATTATAAAACTGTAATTGGAATTTACTGAAAATAATTAGCATGTGGAAATTATTTTTCTAATAATTTTTATAAAAGAATTTTGCATAGAGAATCTAGAAATTGCTATCTTTTTTAATTATTTTACTAATATGATTTATTATAGATAAAGCAGATATGAAATTATAGATATGATTGCATAATATTTGTTTTTTTAGAAATAGCATCAGTTGATTGATGGATTACAGAACTGTAAACCTTTAGTAGGAACAGTTAATTGACTATACAGTATGTGTATGTGTTTGTCTATGTGTATATGTATGTATGTATAATATGTTTCTTCGTTTAAAAACTCAACATTGACATCTTAAAGGAGGTAAAAAACATTTGCTGGATCTCTGAACATTTGAGTTGAGAGAGATTCTTCATATTCTATGCCTGGATGGTTCATAATCATAGACATATTTTATGGATAGTTTGTTCTACCAAAATGTTCAAGGACGATTCATTACTAAGGCCCTGTCAACAAGAATCTCTCTTTCTTAAGACATAAAAATAGAACTGTACTCCTCAAAAAAAAAAGTCCTCATCCATAGGGAAAATAAATAATTTAGAATCAATCAACCCTATTGTTTTTTCTAATTATTAGTTGAAAATGAGGTTAGGAGTTGCAGTCCCCCATATAGCAATATCAAGTCCAGGATCATGTCAGCAACACATTGAAAGAATTAAGTGAAGAGACAGTGTTTATATGCAGAGAATACAAATGCTTACACTACAGAAATCTGATCCAGGTTGTTACACTAAATGAGCTGTGTAATTTTTTTTCCAGCAGGCTATTATGGTTAATTAAATTGAGTCTTCAGCTTGAGATCTTGGGGTTTCTTAAAAGATGGATCCCTTGATAAAATCAGGTGATAATAATTAGAATTGGCAATCTTGGTTTTTTACTCAAATGGATATGAGGGTGGGGGGCAGATTTCAGTAACACGTGCTTAAGGACAATATTCTATTCATGTGCATATTTGTTCTATTTAAAGTTGGAAGAAGACCATCTGCAAAACTTACAAAGAAAAGATTTAGAGGTACAAAGCTTGACTTTGCAGAACAAACTGGAAGAGAAAACTTGGAGTCAGGAGAAAATTCTGATGTATCAAGAACTCAGACATTTCAAGCAGAACATTTTTATCCTATATGTCAAATTGAAATGGTTGCTAAAACATTGGCGACATGGCAGGCAAATAGAAAAGCAAGAAGAAGACATACTTGAGGTAACTGTCTCATATTATTTAATGGAGTAAAGCTAAAATGTGATAATAATTTTATTATAGGCAAAATACATTTTAAGAAATAACATTACTTCAAGTTCAGATGCCAGAATTACCTTCATTGTGGCATTGATATCTCTGTCACAATGGTTTTAAGCAGAAAAGATATCAAACTGGTACTTGAAACAAATTAGGCTTATAAAAGAAAAAAGGTAGCAATATATATTCATTTGTGTAGTAATTCCAGGTTATATGTTATCTTTAAATTCTAAATTTAAAGATTGAGGAATAAAACAATAACTTTACAAACCCAACACTTTTCTGCTTCTCCTACAGTTTAGGTTATCTTTCTTCAGAAGAACCAAATGATACTTTACATTAAAATTTAAAAGTATTATATGAGGAAATAGAATTATAATTTATTCTGCTGCTCAATATGAGTGACTTCAGGGCACTCACTCCTTCTAGTATTAATGTATTTATCATATTTGCCATGTCTTTTATCATTTGTTAATTTTGTATTAATTAAAAGCAGGAGCAATAAAAAGAATAATTATATAACACCATATTCTATTTTAAAATTTATTTATATACTAATAATTTTTATACTATAAATATACCCCCAATATAAAGGCCATATCAATACAGTTAATTACAAAGCCTATTGTGTTAATTTTTGCCCAATATGAGATTAGAGCTATGATTCTAGAAATCCCAGAATCTCAGAAACTAAAGGATTTGTTCAATAAGATTAAAATAATGGTTTCTTTATATATACTGATTTTTAATATTGAAGTTTATTATGAAGTCTTTTTGCAAACTACAGTCCTCTAATTGTTAGCAGCATAATTCCCAATTTCCTCTCAAAGAATTCTGAGGGTATTAATGCCAATATATCTTGAAGGTACTAAATTTGGGAAGCGTAAGTAATACAAGTCATGAACAAACTAGACATTAAAAAAATAGGGAGTAACTTTTTTCTAGGATGTAACAAATTTTTATCCACTTCATCAATTTGATTTCATAAACAATTAAGTATCCATAAGCTCATAGAAAGAAATAAGGAAAATCTACAAAATAGGTAGCTATTTCATGTAGGAATTTATTTCTTTCATATAAGATTGTATTTATTTTAATTCATTTGCAATTTTAGATGGAACACCTTGATCCCATGCTAGAAATCACCTTTCAGTCTGAACAAAAAGGTGACGAAGAGGGGGAGGAAGAGGAGGAAGAAGCTTTTGCAATGACAAATTACTCCCTTCATTCCACAGTGGAAATAAGCAACCATGGACCACAACTACAGACAGCAGAGTTGTTGCAGCTACAAAAGCAGGTATCAAGGCAAATGTGCAGGTGCTTATTCTGTCATGAGAGTTATCTCTGTGTTTTGTTATTTTATCCATTCTGTCTATTCTATTTTGTATTGTAAAAGATTATCCCAAGTAGAAAGCACTGCTGAGAAAGGTATATCATTGAATGGTGGTATGCAAAATATACATGTTTATTTCACCTAAGCATTTCCATAGCAATTTACTTCCCAATCATTGCTGTAAGAGTTAATTAATCTTAACCTTTTTCTCACGAAAGTATTGAGAGAGTTTCCAATTTGGGGCATGACCTACATACAGATGCAGTGTTTAGACATCAAAATATACCAAGATATTAATTAGCAATCTCCTTTCCAAATACATGATTTGCAGTCCAATCCAATTTCTGCAAAACTATTGACAATTTAGCCCAGAAATCCTCAACTTCCAGGCCTCAGACTGACTGGTCCACGGACTGTTGAGAACCGGGCTCTGCAAGCAACGGGCAAGCACATGAATGCTTTAATTGTCCATGTGCATGATTAGGTTGTACACATGAAACTATCCCTTCTCCCCATACTGCTGCCGGCGCCAGTCTGTGGAGCCAAAAAGGTTGGGGACTGCTGATTTAGCCAATATCTTTTGATCCAAAGTATGATAACTACTGGTTTTATACAGGAAAATAGTATCATTCAATAAAATTTTACTAAATCAATGAACAATATAAATAATAAAATATAAGAATTAATTAATGACTGAAGCAAATAAAAGTAACCAATAACAGTTTCAAATTGCTGTGTTGAACATTGTTGCTACATTTAAAAGTCCAAAGCTAATCTAAATGCAAATATTTTTATAATTATTTAAATAAATCATGCTCTCTGTTCTAATGGAGTTACATGACATTTCACAGTCTTGGGTTAAAATTGAAAAGGCTTTCTGTTGCATCAGTGTTGATTCTACTAATAGTTACAAGTAAAAAGCTATATAATTAAATTGATATGTTGTAAAGTAATTATGTTGAAAATGAAAATTGGCATGGATAGTAAGAAAGAACTGGTAAAAGATGATATGGATAGAAATATTTCAGTTTGTTTATGGGCAGCAAGCAATAGCACTTAATGTTTCCAGACAAATAATATAACTAGGTTTAAACTATTTATAACAGGGCAGTTGAATTTACAAAATATTAATAGAAATGACATTCCACATTTTTTAACCTTGTATGATATCTGCGTATTTTCTTGAGATAATACTTTAAATTGTTCTGTGATAGATAAATAGTATACTACCAAGTCAAGGATATATTTTACAATGATAAATGGCTCTATGAAATTTTTTGTTTAGTTCCTTCACAAAGGAACTTTGTGCTTGTTCTGTGCAAACACAAAAATATCTACTTGCAAGGAGTCTTTTTTCTATATGTATCAAGGATTCACAGTGCAATACCTTCCTTGCCATGGCATTCACTTGCCAGCAAAAGACATTTATAATTTAAAAAATACATCAAAATCACTCTAGTATTTTATATTTAGCCTGCCTCCTGGCCCATAGATTATAACTAAAGTGGCATGTAGATTCAATACACTGCACTTATCTTTAGTCTTCATCATTCTTGAAAAACATGTATGTTTATTATTCTATGGGTTCATATTCTTAGTATTTCCTACATATTCAGCCTCTCTTCTTGTCCACCTTTAAAATTACTTAAGAAATTGGGGGTGGGGGGAGGCCCTTGTGCAACGACATACCTAGTTTATTTGGAAAATCTACTTGTAATTTTTGATGTGCCTATGCCCTTAACCCAGCCATCTAGCCCAGGCCAAACATCCTCATACTAAAAAGTAAAGTAACCTTCTGTTACTGACACTCCTCTCAGTTTCCACCAGAATTACACTGGAGTCTGAGCCATCACAATTCAAAATATTTTGTGGTCTCTTTTGTTAATTTAAGTATTTTAAGTAGAAATGTATGTATACTAAAATACATACATACAGGTTATGGTGACCATTTTAAATGTTATGAGCCATTCAGGTTACCGAGCCTCTATATCAGTGATGGCGAACCTTTTAGAGACCGAGTGCCCAAACTGCAACCCAAAACCCACTTATGTATCGTCGAGTGCCGGGTGAGTGTGGCCCATTGGCTGGGTGTGGCCCATTGGGTGGGCGTGGCTATGGTGGTAACGGCAGACTGGGTGGGACTAAAAAGTGCAATCAATCAATTCCAACTTTGCAAGATCTTTTTTTTCCCCGCGAGAAGTTGAAATGGACTGATTGATTGAAACTTTTTTTTTTGCACACGGCAGCGGAGGCCTAAAGTGAAAAGGTTTTATAAAACTCAGCTGAAGGCCTAGGACTGGGGCGACGGCGCGCGTGCCCACAGAGAGGGCTCTGAGTGCCGCCTCTGGCACCCGTGCCATAGGTTCGCCACCACTGCTCTATATTTTAGTTGTGATTTTAAAATGTGTTTTACGGAGATATTGTATTGATTTCTAATGTTATACTTTGTGTTGCTTTTGGTGATAGAAACATGAAAAATAAAACTAATACTGTTGAGAATGAGGCAAAAAAAAAAGAGTTGCCTCAACAACTGATTGTCTCAACATTCACACCTGAAATACGACCGTTCAAAACAATGACCAACACCCCCCAAATTATAGATGAACCTGTTTCAAAGTTATGACAGCTGCAGCGCTCCCCCGGTCATTCGCACTTACGACACTCCGTAGGAATGGTGTAGAGCCCTCCGCTGCCTGTCTCCTCCCAAGTGCTTAGGCCTGTTCCCCATGCCTCCTGGGAGAAGCCGCCTTTTTCAGCACCCCTAAAATGCTTTCTGAGCTTTCTGCGCCTATTTGCTGGCCCAGATCATCTGGAAAGCAGGAAAGCTGCAAAGCTCTCCTGCCTCTCTAGGCTTTCAGCCTTGCATAAAAGGCAGCTTCAGGATGAGTTTCCCAAAACCTTTCCCTAGCTTAATCTTCTCCCTCCCTCCAAGCCATTTTTCTTCAATAGAAAAAAACAAAAGGTGATTTGTCAATCTCTCTCTCACATATATACCCAAGTTAGGTGCTAAAACTATGTAAACTGTCTTTCTGCCCTCCATCCAATATCCCTTTTGAAAACCTTACCTTGATTCCAGGCTAAAGAGTAGAGAAACAAACCAGCAAGGAAAGAAAAATCTTTCTGCAGCTTTTTTTCCTCTAAGTAAAGTCATGTCTAAAAGTTGTGCCAGAAAATGGAGGATATTGAGTCTTTGCAAGCTTTAGCTGTCCATCTGAGTGCCTATAGAATCCAGTTAGGACAAAGGCTAGACTGTAGACCAGACATGTCAAACTCGCAACATCACATGATGTCGCACGACATATCGGAGCTTTTTCCCATTGCCGGCAATGGGGGGCCCCGGTTTCCTCATGCCGGCAGTTTGACATCCCTGCTGTAGACTGTCCTTTCTGTTGTTTTGTGTGTTAGGGACCAATATATTATACACTCTTTATACATAACTGTCCTGATTGTTCTAAAAAGTTCAATCATGTTGTTAAAACTTATTATTAATTAGGAGAGGTACCATGGGCAAGTCTTTTGTGGACTTGCTAAATATTTCTTTTTTCCAGATCATCTTCTTTTTTGAAGCCCACAAATATATTAAGGAAGAGAAAAGTTTTGATCCCATAGTTTGTAAAGTGGTGGTTGAATTACAATATTTCAGATAGCTGAAATATAGCTGCAGATAGCTTTGGTTTTTTTTTTTAGGCAAAGGATAATAGCCGACTCTTGCATGCCCTGAAAATATTGTTGGATAACTTCCAATCAGAACTCCAAGATGATGAGCAAGAGCGTCATGATTTGCAACAACAATATGCCACTGACAAAGCTGCGTGGGAAATGGAATGGACTAAATTGAAATGTCAACTGGAGCAGGTATGCTTTTTCCCATAATTAGAGTCAAAGCGCATGACGCTGTAAGTGAGGTACAGGTCCCTACAGAGACATGTGCAGGATCTGATGATTTCATCAACATTTTGGAAACATGAAAGCCAGTTTGGTGTAGTGATTAAGGCATCAGGCTAGAAACCGTGAAACCTTGACTTCTACTGCTCCCTTAGGCATGAAGTCAAGCTGGGTGATTTTGGGCCTTCTCTCAACCCCAGGAAGGACCCAGTGGCAAACTACTTTGAAAAATCGAAAACTGCAAAGATTTGTCCAGGCAGTCACTGACTTGAAAACATAAAATTAAAAATTAATTCATGGTACTAGTTCTGCTCCTTGGAATATGTTATTGTATGTTTACTCTGTAGGGCAGTGGTTCTCAACCTGTGGATCGGGACCCCATTTGGGGTCAATCAACCATTTTACGGGGGTCGCCAAGCAAGGCTGTCCGCCATTTTTTTTGTCCGCCATTTTTTTTGTCCACCATTTTTTTTCCCTTTTCCGGCGGGTGCCTTACCTCCCTTGGGCTGGGCCAGCTGGTGGTCGGCCTGCTCCGTCTCTGCCGCTTGCCAGCTACGCCTCGGCCGGCGCAGGGGGCGGAACCACGCATGTGTGGCGCTCCCAGGCAGGGAAAGTCCTCGACTTACGACCGATTAGGTAGTCCTCGACTTACGGCCGGTTTAGTCCTCGACGTACGACCGGTTTAGTCCTCGACTTACGACCGGTTGGGGTCACGGCATTAAAAAGGTTGAGAACCACTGCTGTAGGGTCTCTGTTGCTTTTGAATAAGTGCACTTTCAGGTGGTATTTTTGCAGTTCTCCTGGACTGGGACTTGTGCTGCTTGTGAGCCTGTGCTATCATTGGCATTGAGTAACTGAGATTATTTGTTTTCACATAGTTCATATAGCATAACAGATTTGGGAAGTGAGACAGTAGCTGCTAAACTTCTTTAGTGCCCCAAAATTTTTGCCTCAGGCTTCAGACTTGCTTGCAGTTAATAACTGCTATTAAAAACCCTTTATCACTATACAACAAGCATGCCATGAAGGTAGGAATAGGGTTCTTGTTGGAGGTGAAGATCTTGTTTCCTTTTTGATCAGCTATATAGTCTGCTGCCTCATCTTGGATTCTCACAAAGGCTGCAGTCAAAGCAGTTGAAAAGTAGCTCTGAGTATTTGGAAAATGATTAAGTTGGCTGTAAGGAAATGTCTTAATGTAGAAATTCCTCTGGGAATATTAGAAATTTTGAGAGTGTACCAAATGTAAGCAATTCAAAATGTGGGTTTCAGTCAAGAAATAATACATTTCTGTTCTTGAAAGTAGTATTTACAACTTATAAAATGAAGAGACTATCACATAAAACAATTCTTTTCAATCCAATTTTCTTATTGAGCTGAAGTTGTAATAGCCATATTCTTTTTATATTTATTTATAATTATGTATATTATTCGCTTAATATGTGCTTACATTATATAAATATAATTACATATTATTGTATTATTTTTCATAACATGCTATAATCAGTCAGGTAAAGAAGGTTGGGACTGGAAATAGATTTACATTTGAATTGTAGCTCAGACAATACCCCAAAATAATTATAAGATGTAGTACTTTCTTTGTACTATAAAGCAGCAGAGTTGATGTACATTCTGAGCCATGAATGATAAACTTCAGTGAGCGTTTTAATTGAATTGCAATCTTAAGCTACAAGTTAGATAAACATTGTTGTCATTTTATAGTTGTTTTTTCAAATCAAAAAGTTTTAAATGTCAAAGCTTATGTCGGATCCTGTTAATTTCTATGAAAAACTATTGTGCCATTTAATTTACAGCTGGAAGGGAAGACTGAAAAAGCACAGAGTCAAACTGGCCTTGATGCCACAACAACTTTCAAAAGAGAAAGAGAGGAACACAAGAAACTCTTAGCAGAGAGTCATCGATTAGTAATGGACTTGCAATGGCAATTTCAGCACAATGAGAAAAACTGGAAAAGAGAAAAAGTAGAGCTTCTAGAAAAACTTGACAAAGACCGGCGAGAGTGGGAGAGGCAAAAAAAGGATCTGCTCAGGAAGGCAGAACAGGTAAATTATGATATTCTGATTAAAACAAGATACATCTCAGGATGTGTGGCCCAAAGGAGTATTAGGTTTATGCCTTCAATAAAATGTGTTAATCAGAAAAGATGCTACCAGACTCCTTTTTGTTTGTTGCCATCGAAGACTAAGGCAGCTCTCTTTCTACAAATGAAAAGCACCCTTACTAATACCTGGGAAATTTGCTGAAGATTAAAGTTCTTTTCTTTTTTATTTCATTTCTGTCAAAAATACTGTTTTGTTTCTCTCATCACAAGTAAAAAATTTAACAGCAGCGTAATTGTAAACTCCAGCATAAGTACTTACAGGTATTCAGCTATAAGAGATGCCAAGTGTATTTTGAAGTTTCTATGGAACCAGGAGAATTAGGATTTTGCAATCATGATAGTCTTTTGCAACAAAAGTAATAATCTCTTCTGCCATGTTAAAAATTAACCAGTGGCATGAGCTTTCGTGAACTAGTCTTCGCTTTATTAGATACTTTTTTCCTTCATTTTATAGATGCATACTTTAGTCTCAGAAATGTTTGCTTTAAATATTTTTGTAATGAGTCCTTATCTTAGGCAATGTTTTTTCTTTGTTCCCAAATATAGTTACAGTATGTATAATGTTGCTGCAGATCTGCTTAAGGTGTTCATATTCACCAAAGAAAACCTTTTTATGCATTTCCCACCATTTATAACAAAAAGTCAAAAGAAATATTAGAATGTTTAATTCTCATTAAAGTACTTATAATCTAAGTACTTATTTATTTCAGTGATGAAACTTGCTAAATAACTGAGCCATCTTATATCTGATGGCCAGTTTCAAAAAATATGAAAGAATGGATTATCCTGCCTATAGATTATAATATATTGCTCTTCAATATATTGCTATTTTACACAAATAGATGTTTTCACTTAGAGGATATTTCTATCCTGAATTTCTGCCCATAAATTATTTAAACTAGATTTTGTGCTCCTGATTTTCATAATGAATGTTCAAGAAGGCTTATATGTAGTCTCTAAAGATTCATATGCCTAAACACTACTCTTTTATTTTATAAACAAACTGTACTTATAATGTTATATAGATTTCTAGACCAATAATATAACAAAATTAATATATCTTCTTAGCTCCAGGAAAAATACTACAAAATCAATTTATATCTTATTGGCTTTTAAAATCATAATAAAAATGTTTTTCTGCCACTAGCTCACTTTTTCTATCTTCAAAATGTAATACTTTGCTTATCTTCCAATAACATATAAGAAAACTATAAAGAAGACTGGACTATGGATGGATCAGTTACAGAATAACAGTTGGAAATCTGGAATTTTCAACATATATTAACAATGAAACAACATTTGTAGAGCTGGGTGTTTCAGATATATTATTTCCTGTAATTCAGCATCTTTTTAACAACCAAATGACACTTTTATGAAGTTCATTTGTGAATTCAGTGTTTGGCTATGAACAAGGGAAAAAAAGAGGATAATAGAATAGAGCTGGAAGGGACCTTGGAGCTCTTCTAGTCCAGCTCTCTGCTCAAGCAGGAGGACCTATACCATCTCAGACAAGTGACTGTCTAGCATCTTCTTAAAAATCTCCAGTGATGGAGCACCCACAATTTCTGGAGGCAAGCTGTTCCACTGGTTAATTGTCCTCACTGTCAGGAAGTTTCTCCTTAATCCCAGGTTGCTTCTCTCTTTGATCAGTTTCCAACCATTGTTTCTTGTCCTGCCCTCTGGTGCTTTGGTGAATAATGTGACCCCCCTCTTCTTGATGGCAGCCCCTCAAATATTGGAATACTGCTAGGATGTCTCCCTATTTCTTCTTTTCTTTAGACTAGCCAAACCCAAGTCCTGCAGCCGTTCTTCATATTCAAAACAAATGGCAGGCAACATGAGGTAATGATTAAGGTGTTGATCCAGGATAGTCATTCACTTTCAGACCACTCTATTTCACATGATTGTAAGTGTAAGAATAAAATGAAGTAAGAGTCCCATGAGCTTCTAGAGAAAAGGCCGGATGTAGCAAATCTAACAGATAATGACCCTGACAACAACATCAACAGATTCCAAGAGTATAACTGATATGTTAAGGGATCCATTACTTGGCTTTACTATTAGTTGATTAATTATCACAGCTGCTATTTTGTCCTTATTTATTTTGTTGAGGTTTTTATTGTTTTAATGTTTTTTAAATTGTTTTGATATTTTTTTTTTGTAAACCTCACAGAGTTGAGTTGGGCAGCTATAGAAATTGAATAAACAAACAAATTCATAATCCTTAATCATTTTACTTCTGACAATTTAAGTCAGGTTACTGAAAAAAAAGAAACGTTTCTAAAAATACAAAGCGTAACTCATTTGCGGTAGTAGTATTAGCTTATGTATTGTTGACCCACATTTTAAAGGAATAAAACTATTCTCTTTCTTTCAAATGTATGGTTATATTGTCTCCTGAGACACATCAAATCTAAGTTTATCCTACCTGTGACTACAAGGTATTACACATTTTGCAGATCATTTTTGTTATTCTCCAATTATGAAGAGGTGCTTTTTATTATTCCAGGTTGTCACATATAAACATAAAACTCAATGCCAAATAATAAATGCTTACATGGGTCTTAAATTCAGTGTATTCAGTGTATTTAATTCAGACTAGTCAGCACTTAGACTAGTCATGAGACTCACCCTATGTCAGTGTCCATCTAGAAAGAGTTTGACTTTCCTAACGTGGTACAAACTCCAAGTGGAATGATGTCCAATATCCACTCAATATGATATACATGGCATTTGTTCCTGCATACTGTGAATAGAAAACATAACAGTCTAAATGGAATACTTTTGTCAGGATTAATTTTCCATCCAAACTGCGATAGTAGTGCCTGCAAAAAGGAATTCATTGGTTAGACTTTTTAACCACATTATTTTTACCCCCCCCCCAATTGTTATCCTAAAGAAACTATAGGAAAGTGACATTTTAATGCAATAATAGTAGTGCAATTCTTTCTAGTTTTTATTCAAATACTTTAATTTAAACACTGTATAATTTTAATCTCTATCTTTATTTATACTGGGTACAATAAATAAGTTTCATATAAATAATGCTAATATAAAAAAGATAAAAGTAGCTTGAAATATTGAGGAAGACCTTGCATACTTTCTGTCTGTCTCTTAAGAATTCTTAAGTCTCTATATTAATATTTTGTCCATTATTAATTTCTTTCTCAGCCTCCGAAAGTAAATCCACCAAGGGGGGACAGCATCCTTTCTGATTCAAAAGAATCTGCCTTTCATTCATTTTCACATCAAGGGAACCATCATGTGCCTCATCCATTGGGATCAAGGTCCTATTCTGATTCAGAAACCATGCAATTTGAAGATCGATCACTGTCTAAATTGAAGGAAAGTGACAGATGCACTGCCACAGAAAACCTATTTCTAGACACCTTGTCCCTCGATTCTCCAGATGATTCTGATGAACCACAATCTCAGAAAGTGGAACAAGAGAGGTTCTTAACTTGTGTAAATGAGGTAATGTGGCTTGACTTTTATGCTATCAGTTACATGGTAATTAATACTGCTATCATGACAAATATTTTCATCAAATGCCTATAGTTTATAAGCCAGTGGCATCTTCATCCTGATCTTTATTACCTACTATGAATTGAAATCAAAATCAAGAGTGTGTAAAGCATAAGCACTATACAAAAACAAAGTAGTAACATAGTCAAATAATATTTCTAAAACACAGTAGTGAAACTATGCAAATAATGGGAAATTAGTGTAATGTTAACATAACATTACACCTTCTTATATTGTTCTCTCGGCAGCCTGTTCTTGTGGATATCCTTAATGTAAATCAATGTTTGAATATTTGTTTTATTTATTTGGGTATTTGCAGCCATAGGCAAATAAGCTAAATTAGAGTGAAAGGATTTCCCAATAGAGATATGTATGTATGTATGTATGTATGTATGTATGTATATGCATATGTGTGTGTTTGTGTGTGTGTGTGCACAAACATATGCACATTTCACAAACAAAAACAAATGTTAAAATGTGAAGAATTTCCTGAATCATTTTAAGGCAAATTTCAGCATACCAAGAGAAATTAGGGGAAGGGAATTCTAATTTGGAGAAAATTAGATGGATCTTTCTTTAGAGGAGATTGCCATTCTGTGGCAAATATAAGCCCTTCCATGGACTTGAAAATCTTACCTATCAAAGTACCAGGACAAAATGTTCTTCACAAGATAGGAAAGTTCTCCATGGGGAACACTGACTGGGTGATCCAGTTCTTTTCTTATATGTACATTCCTGGCTTGTAGTGAATTCCACTGGAAGAGAAAAAGAACATTCAATGGGATATACTTATGCTATATTTTTGTAGATGACCACTTTTGGAGTAGAAATATTCTTATAGATGTTGACATAATTTTAAAAATTGCCCACAAACTTAATCTGGAGACCAAGGCAATTGCTTTTTTGCATGATCTATAGGAGTCCATGCTGGCAATGCATCT